CAAAAAAAAAAACAACATTAAAACGAACAAAGAAGAGGTTTTTTTTTTTTCCTTTAGAAAGGGTTATAGAAATGAAACGTTTGAAGTTTTGAAATAAATTGTTGCTGTTGTCGTTGCTCCAACTAATGCTAACAAAAAAAAAATTTTTTTTTGCTAGCCATCTTTATTCTTAGTCAGAGCCTTGGCTATCTCCATCTCGGCATCGCCTTCGCTTTCTTGCTGTTCGTCTTGTTCAATGTCAGTCGTCGTATTTGTGGTGTTGTGGTGGTGGTGGTGGTGGTGGTGGTGGTAGTGGTGGTGGTATTCTTCTTGGTGCTCGTCCTCATCGTGATGCTCTGCTTTAAACAATGAAAGGGCGTTGTCTAAACAACTGGGCAATAGTTTATGTGGTGGTTTTCAGAATATGGATATGACATGACACTACTGCATTGGCTTGTTCCTCGTCTATGGCTAATAACTTGAATCCACCCGGCGGCCTACTAAGCTCAAATCTCGCCAGATTCAGACAGTCCTTTCGGGATGGGGTAATAATTTTCCATCAGTGTCATTATCATTGTTATCATCGCTATCACCATCATTACATTTTGTAAAAAAAAAAAAAAAAAAAGAGCAACATTAACATTAATGACAATAATAATTGTAATAATTGTAGTAATAATAATGATGATGATGATGATAATAATAATAAGTAATAAATAATAAGTAATAAATAATAATAATAATAGAAAGAGAATTTTAAAAAAAAAAACAAATTTACAACTTTTTTCTCTATTTTTACTCTTACTTTGGTTTGTTTTTCCTTTTTTTCTTTATTTATCTTCTGCATTTAATTCCCGTTTAAGCTTAGCTTTTGAATAATTTTGATAAAACTTTTAAAGATATTTTTGAGATGGCGTGCGTATAGAAAAACTCGTTTATAACCAGAATTTACAAAAAAAAAAAAAGAAAAATATGCATTTTTAAAAGCAAAAAAAAACCACCTTTCTGTTTTAGTGTTTTCAAGTCACAGCTCGCAACACTCGTTTGTATATGTAATCATAAAACTGATACGGGAATATTTTTAAATAGTATTGCAAATATGCTTATAGGTAACTGCTGTCGTTTCTGTTCTTGCTTTTTTTTTTTTAAGTAGCAAAAAATATTTCAATTGACTAAAAAATAAATTTATGACAATTATAGCTGTTCTAGGCAAATGCAATCAGAGTGGAAGCTCGACAACGGCTACAGAAAGTACGACGTGTTCCCAAATGGTTGATTGTACTCAACAAAGTCTATCATCAATATGGCCTAAAACATCTGTTGTTGATCACCATTTTAATTATTTATCAATTTATTGGTGCTGGTATATTTTATCTGTGTGAGGTACAGTTTGACGAAGAACGAGAACTACAGTGGAAGAATGATGTGCAAAAGAATCGTACTGAATTCATACAACGTATCATGGAAATTTTGCTCAACAACACCATATCATATTCAGTGGCTAACAATCGAAGCGTTGATGTATGTTTTCCATTTAAGATGGGGGGTTTCTTTTTTTTTTTTTTTTCTTGAAATAATTCTGCTTTACTTAAACATTTTTTTTGGTATTTCTTCTTCATCTTTTTCATTTTTTTTAAAACTAAATCGGGTAATAAAAAATCTCACCTTCATCTGTTTTTTTTTTTTCACTTAATGCATTTTTGATCAAACTGCTTTCAAGCATTATTTGCTGTTCATTCTCAAAAACATACAAAATGACTTCCTATGTTTAACACTTTTTTGGTAAAATTTTCAGATATTTCAAGCTTACTGCAGTGCGGGTTTCAAAAATCTCCTTTCTTTTAATTCTTATTTTACTCTTCCTATCCTTCACTGTTGTTAATATAAAATAAAAAGAAACTATTTTGCATAAAGATTTTATCTTTTTGATATATATATATATATATATATATATATATA